AACTGCCCAGGCTGGCCTCAAACTCCAAATCTTCCTGCCCCAGTCTCCCAATCTAACTGAGATTACAGGTGTTCACATGCTGTATCTTTTTTTTTTTTTTTTTTTGTCTTTTTGAGACAGGGTCTCGCTACATAGTTCAGGCTGCCCTTGAGCTCACTTTGTAGCCCAGGCTGGTCTCGAACTCACAACGACGCCCCTGCCTCAGCCTCCCGAGTGCTGGGATTACAGGCGTGTGCCACCATGCCCAGCTTGCTGTATCTCAATAGCACCTGTTGGGTATGTGTGTGTCCCCAACTGGACCGAGAGAGTTTTGAGGGCTGGGAGATACTCAATGAACAGACAGGATACCCAAGACAGGAGGCTCTGGCAGGAGGATCACAAGTTTGAGCCCCGCCTGGGCAAATGGTTGGGGATGTAGCTCAGTGCAAAGACTCCAGGTTGAATTTCCACTACTGGGGAAAGAGAGAGAGAGACAGGTTCCCCAGAACTGGTTCCTGGGCTCCCGGACCTGCTACCTGACTGCAGCCCTCAGCGCCAAATCTCTCCCTTAACACCCGGGTCTCAGTTTCCTTGTCCAGAAAAAGTGGTGACAGGACTGGTATGAGGCTTCCCACTGAATACAGTGATTATGACCACGGCGACCCTGCCCATGCCCAGCTGGTTCCCTGGCCTCACCTGAGCAGCGTTTCTGGAGCCTCAGGATTTCCAGGTGCAGGTCTCGCAGCAGGGCCATCTGCTCCTTTTTCAGGAAGCTGATGTGGCGTTGCACGCTCTGGATCTGATGCTCCAGGGACACGGTATCCATGGCAGCCCACGCCTGGACCCCACCTGGGGAGGACCACAAGCTGAACCCGCGTCTTCAGAGCCCATCTGCGCTGTCCCACCCTCAGGTCCCTGTGTCTTGTCCTTTCTTCCACTCTGAGGTCCTCTTGTTACCATGAGGACGATTCTGCCACCAATTCCCAGTCATTTCCCCTCTGTCGCTCACTCAAGCTTCACGGACAAGTGGTATGCTGACAGGGAGGCCTCCTTACTCCCATTCAGCAGATGAAGATGAAGATTCACTCTCCTGCTCCCAGGTAAGTTCTTCCTCTTCTGCTTCTCAGACAGGAAGACACATGGAGTCAGCAGAGAGAGACAGGACCTGGGGTCTAGTCTGCCTTTTTGTTTTGTTTTGTTTTTTGAGACAGGGTCTCACTGTGTAGTTCAGGCTGGTTTAAAATTCACAGTGTAGCCCAGGTTGGCCTCAGACTTGCAGTGATATCCCTGACTTCGCCTCCTGAGTGCTGGGATTACAGGTGTGCAGTACCACACCAAGCTTCTTGCCTCTTTTCTAGCTGTTGTCCAAGTCATGGAGGAGAGAAATTTGAGGAGTGTTTTCCTAACCCTGTCTCTGTGGGCTGAAGGCAGGTAATGGAGTCCCTTCCCCCGCTAATGCAGAGTGAACCTAGAGTCTTTGCCTTGAGCTCCCGCTCCAGCCCTGTTTTATTCTTTTATTTTGAGGCAGAGTCTTGCTAAATTGCACAAGCTGTTCTTGAACTTGTGATCCTCCTGCCTCATCGTCCCAGAGTGTTGGGATTACAGGTGTGCATCACCAGGCCCAATTGTGGAGTCTCTTTTTAAAAGAGGAATAGAAGCTGGGCATGGTGGTGCATGCCTGTAATCCCAGCACTCAGGAGGCTGAAGCAGGAGGATCGTTGCAAGTTTGAGGCCAGCCTGGGCTACAAAGTGAGCTCAAGGCCAGCCTGAACTGCATAGTGAGTCCCTGTCTCAAAAAGACAAAACAATAAAATAAAATAAAATAAAATAGGAATAGAAGAGGGCGATAAGGAGTGCTCCCAGTGAATCCTGTGGTGGGAATGTAAGCCGCTGTGATAGGACAGGGAGGTGTGACCCCTGAGTCCTAGTGACAGCCAGGCTTTCCAGGCCTCCCTCTGGCTCTGCCCTCTTCTCAATGACTTACTTCCATGGTTCTCAGCAGCCCAGAAAAGCAAAGGTGGGAGGTGAGAACGGGAGGCCTAGGGACTCCCTAAACCTTTAAGGACCTGCCTCCAACTGCCCCAGGAATTGCCTCTGCAGTGAGAGAGAAGCCAGTGAGATGCACGCTCTCGTTACAACTGGTTCCTTCCAGACCGGCTTCCTCGTGAGACTGACATCTGTAGGGTTGGGCCAAGCAGGTTGGCCTGCAACGTCATGTTTGTAGGCTTCTCTCCTGGGTTCCTTCCCTGGGGACTCCCCTGACCCCGCTAATCCAGCCAAGGAGGGCTTTCATTTCAGCAAGGGGCAGCTCTTTGGCCCATGGGGACCCCTGTGCATTATGTGACCATCTGTTATGTTCAAGGAACTTTATACACATTATCTCACCTCGGTGAGAGGAGATGACCATCTCCACTTCTTTCTTGTTTGAGACAGGGTCTTACTATACAGTTCAGGCTGGCCTTCAGCTCACTTTATAGCCCAGGCTGGTCTTGAATTTGCAACAATCCTCCTGCCTCAGCCTCCCAAGTGCTGGGATCCATTTCAAAAAGGAACTGAGACACACAGCTAGTGTTATGGTGGCAGTTCCCTAGCTCCGTAAGTGGTGGGAGACCCAATTCTCCAAGTGAGTCTTTTGGATTTCTATTCTTTTTACTTTTCCTTTTCTGTATTTACAGTGGTGCCTCAGTTTGTCAGCCTAATTTGTTTTATGATTTTGAGGAAGATGGCCGCAGTGATGTTTGCCACCTGAAGCAAAATTTTGCGGAATGCTTTTGTTTGTAAACTGAATTGTTTCCAAACTGAAGTGTCTGTGAACCAAGACTATTACTGTATTTGTTTGTTTATTTGTGGTCGGTATTGAACCCAGGGCTTTCATGCTGAGCTACATGCCCAGCCTTAAAAAAAGTTTTTTTTAAACAGGGTGTTGTGGTGCATGCCTGTAATCCCAGAACTTGGAGGCTATGGGCTGGGGATATAGCTCAGCGGCACAAGCGCCTGCCTGGCAAGTGCAAGGTCCTGAGTTCGATTCCCTGTACCAAACGGGGGAAAAAAATGTTAACAGAGGCTGAGGCAGGAGGATCATTGCAAGTTCAACAATTGAACTCAGGACCTTGTGCTTGCCAGGCAGATGCTTGCACCACTGAGCTATATCCCTGGCCCAGCTGTGAGGATTAAATGAGATAGGAAATACTGTATAAAGCACTTAGTATAGGACTTGGCTCAGCCAGTGCAACCTACATCCCTTCTTCCTTCTCTTTTCTGTCCATTTAATGTATCAGCAGGCTAATTTGTCTTTATTTGCCTAGTTTTTCATTTATTCATTGATCTACTGTTGCCAAGTACTTGCTCGGGGGTGTGGGATGCAGTGATGAAAATAACAGTCCCTACTTTCAGGGAGTTCACAGGGCAAAGAGAAGAGAATCAAAATAATAATAATGTGTCTAATAAACAAATAATACTACAGATAAGTATATAATTACTACCTGTGACAAGTGCCATAAAAAAACTTATACAACTGGGCATGGTGGTGCCACCTGTAATCTTAGCACTTGGGAGTGTGAGGCACAAGGATCACATATTTGGGGCAAAAAAAAAAAAAAAAGCCCCAGTTACAGTATAGTATGGAAGAATACGAATCAAACCTGTTTTACTTCCCCTGCTTCTTTTTGGTATTTTTGAGGTAGGATCTCACTAGGTGGTCCAGGCTGGCCTGGAATTTACAGTGATTCTCCTGCCTCAGCCTCCTGAGTGCTGGGATTACAGGCGTGTACCACACCTGGCATCCTGTTTTACTTTAAAAAAAATTCTTCGCGGCACTGAGGGTCAAATTCAGGGTTTGTCACATCCCTAGCCCATGGGATTTACTTTTGACTTGAGATCAGGGAAGATCTTTTTAAAGAAGTGACTTTTTTTTGAGACAAGCTCTCCCTGAGGTAGTCCATGCTGGCTTTGAACTGAAGATCCTGCTCTGCCTCAGGCTCCTCAGTGTGAGATTACAGGTACGCACCACCACACTGAGCTAGGAAGTAACTTTTAGGCTGAGATTTTGTGGCAGGCAGAGTCCTAAAATAGTCTCCAAGTTTCCCAGCCTGAAGTACACACCCTGGGGTGTTATCTCTTCCTCTTGAGCTTGAGAAACACTACGCATGTGATGGATTTCACTCCAGTGATTAGGTCAAAGGCAAAGGTAAAAAGGGTTTGAAGATGTAATTCAGGTCTCTAATCAGATGACTTTGAGTTAATCAAAAGGAAGACCATTCTGGATGGGCCAGATCTAATCAGATAAGCTGTTCAAAGGAACTCTGAGTGGAAGATCCTGCTAAAATGTGCCAGACTTTTGACTCTTAGAAAGTAAGATAATAAATTTATGTGGTTTTTGTTTTGTTTTGTTTGCAGTGCTGGAGGTCAAACTTAGGGCATGCAATCCCAGTACTTCAGAGGTTGAGGCAGGAGAATCACTGCAAGTTTGAGGACAGCCTGGGCTACACAGTGAGTGCATGCCAGCCTGAACTACATAGCGAGACCCTGTCTCAAAAAACAAAAAAAGAGGCCGGGTGTGGTGGCGTACCCCTGTAATCCCAGCACTTGGGAGGCTGAGGCAGGAGGAGCGTTGAGAGTTCGAGGCCAGCCTGGGCTACAAAGTGAGCTCAAGGCCAGCCTGAACTGCATAGTGAGACCCTGTCTCAAAAAGACAAAAAACAAAAACAAACCTAGGGCTTGCTAGGTAAGCACTGTACCACTGAGCTGTACCTCCAGCCCTAAGTTTATGTTGTTTCAAACCACTAAAGTTTGTGATCATTTCTTTTAGAGCAATAAAACTAACACGGCCCAGGTGAGGTGGTGTGCCTATAATCCCAGCTACTCAGGAGGCTGAGGCAGGAAGACTGCAAGTTTGAGGCCAGCCTGGGCAACTTAATGAGAATCTGTCTCCAAATAAAAAGGGCTGAGGATGTAGCTTAGTGACAGAGCACCCTTCAGTTCAATTTTCACTACCACAAAAACAAGATAAAGTAACACAGACTAGAAGGAAGGTAGGAGTCAGAAGGATACCTCAAACGTGGAAGAGCATGTGTGAAGGCCAAAGTGATAATAACAATAGCTGACATTTATTAAATGCCTGCTACATGCTGAACTTTTTTTTTTTTCTTTTGAGACAGGGTCTCACTATGTAGTTCAGGCTGGCCCTGAACTCACTGTGTAGCCCAGGCTGGCTTCAAACTCATAGCAGTCCTCTTGCCTCAGTCTCCTGTATGCTGGGGTTACAAGGATGCTACTGGCCCTGCATGCTGAATTTTGAGCTAAGTGTTTCACGTGGTCTGTTTGAAGAACTGAGACACTGCCACTCCACATAGGGGCTGAAGTGTAAGCTTCTGGGATGGGTCATAGTAAGTAAGGTTAGCAAGAGATGGGTCACATGGGGTCTTGTAAGTCATGTTAAGAATTTTCGGTCAATATTAGATGACTTTGGATGGAGATGTAGCTCAGTGGTAGCGTGCTTGTCTAGTATGCCTGAGGCCCTGTGTTTTTATTGCCAGCAATGCAAAAAGAGTACTAAGTGACTTTGGAAGTTCTAAAGGGATTTTAAACAGGGGAGGGACACGAGACATGATTGGTGATATTTTTGTTTGTCTTGTCATATAGTTCAGGCTCTCAAGTGCTGAGATTACAGGTATGTACCCCTTGGCTGACTTGTGGATTAGTTTGTTTAGTTTTTTTTTTTTTGGTGTGGGTGTGTGTTGCTGGGAATTGAACCCAGGGCCACCAGACTCTGGTGTACGATTGCAGTAGTTTCCTCCCTGCCATCTTGCTTCCACTTTTGCCCTTTGTTTTCCATGCAGGAGCCACAATTCCTGGAGTAGACATAGGGCTCACCAGGTATCTCCATCTCGCGCTCATAGCCCTCTAATGGCTTCCCATACCACTTAGAACAAAACCCCAAGTTCTTATCAGACCCTATACAGTGTGCCCTCATCTCTTCTCCCCACTGCTGGCTCCACCCCAGCCTCTGGCCTCCTTGCTGTTCCTGAACATGCCAAGCACTCTTGCCTCAGTGACTGTGTGCGTGCTCTCCTCTCAGCCTGGGATGGCCTTCCCCAAGACTGCCTTGTGGCCCATTCCCTTCCTTCATTCAAATGCCATCTTCGGAACTGGGGATTTAGCTCAGCGGCACAGTGCCTGCCTGGCAAGTGCAAGGTCACGAGTTCAATTTCTGGTACTGGAAAAAAAAATAAACAAAACAGACAAACAAACAAACAAAAAAACAAATGCCATCTCCTTGGGTCAAATCACCCAACCTGAAAAGAACCCTCTTTTCTTTATTTTTTTAAATTCTTATTTATTTATTTTTAAAAAGAATCTTCTGTCATTCTCTACTCCCTTACTCTGAAATTTTTTTTATTACCACATGAACATAGTGAATTTTTTTGTTTACTGTCTGCCTCCCCTGCCAGATCATGAGCAACAGAAGATGAAGGACTTTTCTATTGTCTTCCTGCCCCACCGTTCCCTAGCACCTACCATGGTGTCTAGCAAATCAGAAGCACTCAGTGAGTACTTGCAGAATCCAAGAGTGAGAGAATTTGTGGAATGAGTAGAGAGGAATATTTACAGAGAGGCTGAGATCAAGACAGACATATGTTAGGCAGGACATGTCCAAGTGACCTCAAACATGGAGAAATAGATGTCAAGCTGACCAGCGAATATACTGGGGCATAAGTTGAAGAATCAGATGAGCTGTATGTCTGAGTCAGGATGTGTATGCCTGTGTGTCTGTGCCTGCACCAGAGCTTGGTATGTGCCTCAAGGAGTGTGTGTGTGTGTGTGTGTGTGTGTGTGGTGTTGGAGATCCAACCCAGGGCCTTGTGCATGCTAGGCAAGTGATCTGCCAAGGAGCCACTCTCCCAGGCCATGTGTGTGTTTCTTGATTGTCTTGCAGCTGCGAGTGCCATGTGTACAACTGGAGGATAAAGGTGTGTGAGCCGGGCCTGTGCTGGGGTGAAGACAGACCACGTCTGCCCCAGCCACTGCAACGCCAATGATTCTGAAGGGTAAAAGCCCTTTTTTCTCATACAGCCCCAGAGACTGGACCCAGGCCACAGTGAGAGCTGAGCCAACCAGCTGTTTTTGTGCTTCCCAGAAAGATTTGAGCAATTGCTTCCAACTAGGCAGGCCGCTCTTTCAGGGCAGAAATTTGGGTCACTAACGATCTTGGCAAACAGTCTTTCTTAGATGTTATTTTGTAGTTTGTTTGGGGGAGGGTGGAACATGGAGCAGGGAAGGGGGAACTAGGGACAGCACAACTCTCTGTGTGGTTGAGGAGTCCTAAGCCCATCAGAAGGCCGCAGCCAGGAAAATGTCAGGTTTTCACAGTAGATATGCAGTCCTGGCACCAAGGGGCTTCAGAAGCTTGTGCCTGAGACATGGTCTAGGCCAGCTGCCACAGCTGCAGGGTTAGAGCTGTCTGCTCCATCTTCCCATACCCAGTGGGAGGTCTCAGCCTTATCAGTCAAAGGGAAGAGGCCTCTCGCCTCTGTCTGTGGTCCTGACGACCTCAGTGCCTGCCTCGCCTCTGCTGCTTGCTTCTTTTAGCACTCCCAGTTCTTTTTCATGCTAATTTTCTAGCCCGGATTTTTTTTTTTTTTTGGTCTCTCTGAGACAGGGTCTCACTATGCAGTTCAGGCTGGCCTTGAGCTCACTTTGTAGCCCAGGCTGGCCTCAAATTCACAACGATCCTCCTGCCTCAGCCTCCCAAGTGCTGGGATTACAGGAGTGCGCCACCACTCCCAGCTCTAGCTCGATTTAAAAATACATTTTTTAAAAGTCACCAAGAATAAAGCAGGACTTGTGACACAGGATTTACAATTTACAGTTAATTCCAAATGCTTTTGACACATCTCTAATGCGTCTGAAAGTACAAATAGTTTCCCCTTGGGGAAGCTGGTGTTTGAAGCCTTCTATGTTCATGTCCTTAACCATAGACAAAGTATCAGGTTCAGGGACTTTCTGAGCCTGGCACAATGCTGACTCTCAGAGGCCAGGGCTCCTGATCCCTGAGAATAACCTGGCATCCTGCTTGCATCTGGAATATCTGGGGCCCCACTTTCCTTCCTAGCTGTCTGCCTACCACTGACTCGGGGAGGGGGAAATTCAACTCTCTCCTCCTCTTTATTCCTCCAGCTCTTTGGGTTGAAAGACCCACATAAAGCATCAAATCATAGCACCTAGGGATTGGAGGACTTCCACAGTCTTCTCAGACAATGTTTCTCAAACTGTGCTACATAAAATTCCAGGATTCTGCAGAGGGGGACTCAGATGCTGCCAAAGGGATGGTGGGCAAAGGGCTGGGTCCAGAGGCTTTGCTTCTTCATTCTTTTTACATGATGAGCTTGTACACACAAATTCATTAGAGAAAAGGCCTCTGCTACCCAAAAGTTGGAAAACCACTTATTATTGTTGTTGTTATTTTGCCATAATGAGGATTGAACCCAGGGCCTCACACATGCTAGGCAAGTGTTGTATCACTGAGATAAACCCTCAGCCCTGTGAAAACCACTTTTATAGTATAACCTCTCCTCAGCTGTCTAAATCCCATCTCCCTCAAACTTTTTTCTGTCTGCTCAGTGTCCACCTGGCTTCCTCTGGTCCCATTGCTGCCCCAGGCTTCTTGTGCTCTGCTTGCATGGAGTTTTCACCACGTGCCATCCCTCACTCCCGGACCAGTTTCAGACGTCCCAGTTTCAATTTCATTCTTAGGGTTTCTCTTCTCTTTGGGACTGAAACTATTTATTGAGCCAACAAATGTCTCTATACTGTTTTAAGCAGTGCAAACATTTTGTTAAAGTGTTTTTATTTTTTCTTTATATTTCATTTGTTGTTAAGGATATATGCGCCGGGCGTGGTGGCACACACCTGTAATCCCAGCAGTCGGGAGGCTGAGGCAGGAGGATTGTCGAGAGTTCGAGACCAGCCTGGGCTACAAAGTGAGCTCAAGGCCAGCCTGAACTGCACAGCGAGACCCTGCCTCAAAAAGACCAAAAAAAAAGGATGTATGCCTTCTTGTTTCAAGGAGAATGTTAAACTTATTTTTATTTTATCATTTTTGATATTGTATTATTCTTGTAGCTAGGGCAGATATACTTTAGCAGGGACAAACATGGTAATAAAGGAGTTAATAAATGAATCAATATGTTCTTTATTTTTCTTAGTCATTATTCCGATTTATTATCTGACTCAGAGGCCCAGGAGCAGGAGAAGAAGAGGAACTTGAAAAGGCTTTCTGGGACATGGCGTTGATGCACAAGCAGTAATACTAACACTAATACTAACACCAATACTAATACCAACACTAATACTAATATTAATACTAATACTATACTAATACTAGTGAAGTGTCATCACTGTTCTTAGCATTTTATTTATATTAACTTATTTATCTTGACAATAACCCCACACTGAAGATCCTATTAGTATATCCACTCCAAGATGAAGAAACAGGTTCAGAGAAGAAAAGTAATTTGATGATTTATAATTATAGTGCCTGACACCTAGGAGCACCCCACTGGGAGTACATCCTGAAATATATGGCCCCTTACAGAGCAAACACAGTCCACATTTGCAAGCTGATCACCTCCTTCAGATCCTACTTCTTGCTGTTCCCATGACAAACTCTCCCTGTGATTGTAGATAGCCCCTTGCTTACTCTATCCCTTCCTGCCTCTGTTTCCTGAAACTTGACCCCCTCCTTTAGGACCCTGCTTTAAGGCTAGGAAAGTCTCCTGTGTTCCTCCAACAAGCTGGGAAATCCTCTCCCGCCTCTGTGTTCCCCAATCTGTCAGATCTAGGTGGTAGCTAGTACCACATTCTACCATATATCACTCTCCATATTGTGTGTGTGTGTGTGTGTGTGTGTGTGTGTGGTCTGTCACACACCTGGCTTCTGATCTAAGGTGAAAGCTTCTTGAAGGCAGAGCTTTGTCTCTGGAAATCCTTTGCAAGGAACAAGCACACAAGGAATGTCAGTGAAAAAAGGAAAATGGCTTGAATCTTATTGGGAATCACCAGGACAAGTAAGTACATGTATTAAAAAATAATTACCCTCCTCCTTTTGCAAGTCCTTGGCTCTCCTGGGGATTTAAGTTCGGAACAGAATCTAACCTTTGACAAATGTCTGGGATTCTGCCTGCAAGGTGGGGCCACTTGGCCAGTGGTAGAGCAACATCCTCCAGGGACCTTGTGGTCCTCTCCACTTCAGGGCCACTCCTCCCCTAGACGTTCAACTCTGGTTCCCCTCCTCACTGACGATCCCAGCACCCGTAACCTCAGCAAAACTGAGGATTCAGGCTCAGGGGAGTTGAGCGGGGTATATGGGGAAACTGGAGCCCCTCACCCGCTTCAGTCTTGATGTTCTGCCTTGATTGTGCCTGAAATATGACTCCCCAGAGAAGATGGGGTGGGATGGGGGATGTGGAGTCTAAGGAGGAAAAAGGAAGAGAGGTACCAGAGAGGACGGGAAAGACAGGCGGAAAGAGGCGTGTGGTGGGAGGCGACAGGAGGTGGCGGGGGCTCGACCTCGAGCCGCTCTGGACTCCCCGCCAGCACCAGGTAGGGCCCGGGTTTGAGTGGCGGGGGACAACTTCTGCCAGCAGCCGCGGGTCCTGTCCGCCTCCCGCGCGCTGCGGTGCCCAACGCCGCCAGCCCTCCTGGGGGAGCTGGAGTTCGGCGCGCTGCCCCCCCCCCGGGGCTCCCCCGGCCCCGCGCCC